AGCTCAAGGACTATGTCGGCCAGAGATTGCCACCACGCAATGCCATCCAGACATATGGGCGCAACAAGGAAATTGTGGTGATCCAGATCGACCAAAGTTACGATAGTCGACACATTCTTCGAATATGCTACAGCTGGAGTTTTCCATATCCATCCGAATATCACTCATGGAGCAGCAAGAGCGGATTTTCAGAATGGAATCATGCCACTTGTTACGACTTACCAATGCGATGAAACCACTGACGATGCCAACAAATCCGCCAACACTTACAGTAGATCGCAATGGGTCGGGTCTATCATCCGGAATATGCATTGGTCAACCACATCATGCAGACATATCACGACACGTGGAACACTGCAAGGGGGATGCCTATTGAAGAAAGAATGGATTTTGCCATGGCTACCTGCACTATGAAGGCAATTGTCCGTCACCATTTCTATATGAAGACTGGTTCTGGATGCGATCGAATATCGGATTGCATGATGACATTTGCATTTGGATGGGGGAAGACCGACATCCAAAATCGTTTCCGAAGATCCGAGATTGAGTCCATGACCGATGAGGAGAAGAAGACTATGCAGGACAAGACCTCGCTAATCATTTCCGATTACCAGGTAACATCAACCAAGCGTTTCAAGCACATCACCAACGAGATGTTCCTGAATGGCCCATGTGACGCAGATTCACACAGCCCGAGACACTCAGAGAGCCAAGGAGTACAATCAGAAAAAGAAGGAGAACACTTGGGGAAGTTCTTGGCTATATAACAAGGCTTACGGCTACGATCAACCTGGATGGAAAGGCTATAGTTCTTCGACTTGGTATGACTACGACTACGACAGCCAATCTGAAACCAGCAGCCATCCGTGGAAGCAATGAGATGCTTTCAGAAGCTCGAAAGAGAGAACGACCGAGAACAGCACCACGAATGCCGACCAATTGATCCTCACCATCAACAAGACTATTCTGTGAGAGATCAATAGTTTCACACCGATCCTGCATTTGTAGCATTGTGCATCATCTTTTGATACAATTAGGTATCCGCAATGAGTACAGAGTTTCTTCTCCATTTGCCAAAGACATTTCATCCGCGCCAAAAAGGGATGCATGAATACAGAACTTTAATTCTGGCAAGATATATCTCGTATCTGTCACTGACACATTCATGGCTACGGGACACATGCTTGAATGGCTACGGTCAAAGGCCAAAAAGCCAATAGGAATTCAGTGCTGGAGATCAAAAAGAATTTGTGTCTGTTTTGTGATTAATTTTTTTCGGACCCATTGATCTCCATGCAACACCATTTTGGCTCAATGCCTTTCATGTCACACATCAGATGTACATAGTTCACTGAGCCATTGCGTCCGTGATACAAAGGTGCTACAGCGGACCACTTTCAGGGTAAATCACAACACGCAGTCAACCAGAACGAATCCAGGATCAGTCCATCAGTATTGACACTTGGACTCTCCGGAATAGATCCAGGGCAGGGATAAGATACCCCAGGCAGTGGGCTTCAGGGGGGTGGGGGGCTTGGGGGATGAACATTCAGATATGTACAAGAAGACGCTGACTACACCTAGGATCATTGTGAAAACTTCCGGTGGCCCAAAGCGAGAAGAAATGGAAACGCCACCTGAGATGCAGAAGTGGTTATTCATCAACAGGTGTCATTAGGATGACATCATTGCACCGTTTGGGTACATCGCTGCCTCGGCTCACAAGAAGTGGCTGGTGCCAGTCTGCATCTCCAGTCCCACGCAGAAGCTGCTCAATGGTCAGTAACTTGTATCTGTCGATTGAGCTCACCTTGTAGTCAGGAAATATGTTTCCCAGTCGTTGGTCTTCGTCTGGTTCAAAGTTGTCTGTTATGCTGTTATGCTGCGTTGTCGGCGATCTCGCACGCAGTTGGTCTTGGCGCAATGAAAGACATGGGTTACCAGGCAATCCAGGACGCAATGAAGGCCATCATGCCGTATTTTGAATGAAGATTACAATGTGGATCTCCTTGAGGCCGAAACTTCAGAGCTGACACGAAGATGGTTCAATGGTTCCTTCTCGGCCCCCTTAAGAGTTATAATCGTTTGGATAAGGCGCATGGATTCCTTCTGTTCGGGCTGATGGCTTGTTGATGCAATGGTCACTAATTTGTTTGCATCAGTGCGAACATGGACATCTGCAAGTTCGCCAGATATGTCTGACCAGAGTCCTCGAACGAAGAGACACGTGCCGAAGCATCGCATCAGTCCGCGCAACCCGGCCACAGTGGTGGACATGGTACGCAGTGATCTTATGAGTTTCATAATGAACGAGGGATCCTTTGGAATTCGGCGAATCTTTGTGAAGATTCCGATCTTGCGCAAGGAAACCACATGTGCGCGTTGCGATGATTTGTCATCGTTGTTCCTATAAGACGCATCGGGGTATCCGACTAATCTTACCCTGAAGAGGCCAGAATCTCACACTAAGAGGTATACTCTTAATTGTTTCTGACAATTT